GATCATCCCCTCTGCGCGGAGTGAGGGTTCGAGAGGGGGGGATATTCTTGATACCGATCTTTAATAGCCGCCTAAAAAATAAGCCCTGTCGTCGCACGTGTGCGGAAGCCGTTTAGGAATCAAAAGGGGGCGTGTGGGTGATCCTCACAGCAGAAACCGCAGGAGGCCTCGTGGACACCGGGGATGGTCAAAAAATCGTCCCGCACGTGCCAGAAGCACCCCCCGCCGAAGGTAGCGACTTCGAGCTCCAAACCTGCAACGTTGTTGAAGAACATGGGGCTTTGTGTCACTCGCAGGTCAGAGAAAGAGAAAGACAAGATAAACACAGAGGCACACACACACGCAGAGGAGAGAGAGGCAGAAGTAGAGGGGAAGGAGCTTGGAGCAACGGACGTATCGAATTGGGTGGAGCAGAGACAAAACCAACGCGCTCTGAGCTCATTTTCTTTCTCAATGGCCCTCTTCGTGGGCTCATCTTCTTGCGCAAGCAACACGTACGTCACTACGTACAAGAATGTGATTCTCCACCCGGGGTGTGTACTACGCACTTATTATCATATTAGGCGATACAACAATCCCCTAACACAACTCCATCGTGAAACGAAATAATGTTTTTTTGTAGCTGAGGAGTCTCAGCCACGCGTGGAGGAGGAAAGAGTGCGTTGCGCAAATGGTGCCACGAAACCAATTATATAAAATCGAACATGCGGACCAAACTTCACGGTATACTATACGCTGTGGTTGTCGGGAAGACTCATCGTTATCCCGACACCTGCTATGAGTTGCTGCGTGCCACCTCTCAAGACTGCGCCGAAGACGGTGCCGGTGCCGAGGCCTTCCAACGCCGAGGCCGCCGGGCGGTGAATCGGCCGGTACTCCCTCGGGAGCGGGGAGTCCATCGGAACGAACGTCAGCGCCGATCGGTTGATGCAGAACCTGACGTTTTCAATGCGCAGCACGTGGACGAACCGTACGTCATGAAGAGGAGCCACACGTCATGAGGAGGAACAACACGACACGAAAAGGAACCGCACGTCACGAGGAGGAACAACACGTTACGACGAGGAACCACACGTCACGACGAGGAACCACACGTCACGAAGAGGAACAGTAAATCATGAAGAGGAACCATACAATACGAAGAGGAACCACAAGTCAAGAAAAGGAAACACAGATCACGAACGCACATGGCGAAGAGAACCGCCAGTCACAAAAGGCATGAAAAAGAAGAAAAGAAAACAGGAATAAAGATGATAAAAGAACTGTCTTGAAGCATTTGGGGCCGGAACAAACAACGTTGAATGGAGGAACGGAGGGAACAAGCCTCTCGGCGATGACAAAAGGGTTGAAGAAAGACAAACAGTTACGTTTCTGTGTGTCGACCTTTTGCCAGCGGGAGCGGGCCCATCGTCAAACACATGGCCAAGGTGAGCCCCACTCCTGGCGCAAAGGACCTCCGTTCGCCTCAGCGGCCCGTTCTCTTCTCGCAAGACCTGAGGGCACACCAGTCAATGCATCGCCGTTCGGTTTTTCTCGACCGAATCAGGCTGGGATGCGCCTCGAATTCTCGAAAACTTAGACGTGAAACGAGAAACGTAGCTCCTAACCTCATTCTACAGGGCTCCCTCCTCGTTTTCGCAAGGACTGCTATTAGCACTCGTACGGTAAAGCCTGGAGCAACAAAAGGAGGTCCAGCGTAGAACACCGCTGATTCGTTCCGCGCGCGCCATCTGTTGCCCCCCTTTTGTCAAGGGTAGGCTTGGCAGGGCGGTTCTGTATGCCCGTGCCGCAGGCACACACTTCACTCGCCGTCTCGGCAACACACAGCACACAGGAGAGGATGGGCTTGTGCGACATGGAAGTAACATGCCCGCGCTGCAGCTGCCGCTGTCCCTCCAATTCACGGCACAGTAGCAGCTCTCACCACGTGTTCGGGATGCACTGGGCGGGGAAACCCCGGCCAGGTGTTGTCTCGCCGCCCCCTCTTTCCCCCCTCCATCGCGCTCGCCGGCGGCAGCAGCTCATCCTCCGACAGGAACAAGGGCAAGCCCCCCAACGCGCACGCGAACACCCCCGGCTCGCGAACTTCCTGGTCTGCTTCTTCTGCGCCATCATCGTCGCTGGCGGTGGCGCG